CACACACACACACACACACACACACACACACACACACACACACACACTTACCACTAGTTGAGGAGAATTTTTTTTTTCTTGAGATCAAGCCATTTTCATGGTCACTAGTCCTTAAAGAGGTAAAAGTGCCAAGCTTACTGAAAACACAATGCTGGTTACACAAAAGAACATCACAAATAGTAAATAGCAAGTAAAATAATTTTTTTCTAAATCTGATATATAGAATATACCAGACAACACACATAGTGAATAAACTCTCCCTCAGGAATGAAATATCTCACCTCAAGTGGGAGAGTCTGATCTTACCTGAGGGAAAATTCCCTGAAGTCTCTAGGGAGACAAACTGGAAATTAAGAATGTGTTGAGGCACCAGATTTCCCCTAAATCTGCTGTATCCCAAAGTCTTTTCTTTTTCTTACTGATTTCCATCTGAAGATCTGAAGCCATATGTGGCCTTTTTTTAAGCAGGAAGGAAAGAACTCTCAATCAGTGAAGAAAGTCTTTTGCAAATTCTCCAGGCTTGAACCCAGAGTTACATATGCATGCGCGCGCACACACACACACACACATCTCTTTGTAAGCTCCTTGAGGGCAAGTACTGTTTCAATTTTTTGTCTATGTATCCTCATTGCCTAGAACATTTGGTTTTTGGTGAGTACATGATTTCATCATTGTAGAGATCTACAAGGAAATTCCCTTTACCAGTATCAATCAACACCTGCTCTTCAGCTTATATTCTTTGAGAAGTACCTGGGGACACTGAGAGCTAATGACTTGTCCAATGTCATTCTGCTGGTATGTGTTGGATGCAGGACTTTGAATCCAGATCTTCCTGACACTGCGGCTAACTCTCTGTTCATTATGCCGCACTGCCTCTGCCTAGCACACAGTAGGTGCTTAATAGATGCTTGTTAATTGTGTACTAGAACCCACTGCAACTTGCTGTATTTTGGCCTAACCTCTGAAAGCCTAGTGTCTTGCAGGAAGACCTTTGGCAAAGTTTTAAAGAATGTTGTCTGAAAAACCAGGATGCTATTTTTAAAACAAAAACCAAAGCCCTGTATCTTTAAAAATAAATAAAGTGAAAGGACTTTGTGTGTCATCAGACCTCTTGTTTGAAGTTTAATTTACAATCCATGGAATTTGGATTTATTGGTAAGCTCTATATGGTCAGAAGTGTGAAGAGTTTTCTTTTAGTGATAAATAATATAATATAATATAATATAATATAATATAATATAATATATAAGTATATAAAATCTATGATAATAAAGTACTTTTTTTTGTTCCATAATGTTTTATAGGCTTGTTTAATCAAGGAGCAGCTCCATGGATCAAGGGTAAGTGTTTCCTGTGGCCTGCCCTGGACAGAGTCCAGCCAAATAGAAGTTTCCATCCACCAACCACCTCTCTGTGGCCTTACAGAGCAAAGAAAGAAAAATGAATCGACTCAAGAGCAGCATGAGAGCATGCTTCTTGCTTCCTATGCCCGTCTTACTAAGCCTCTTAGCGACTTTTGCTGCAGCTAAGAATATAACTAACAGCACTTTAAATGGCACAGACATGGTCTTGGGATCCATGCCTGTCATTATTGCCCGAGTGGACCATGTGATCGTCAAGGAAGGGAAAAGTGCCTTGATCGACTGTAATGTTCACGGCATCCCTGACCCCCATTTCAAGTGGTATAATTCCAATGGCCACTTACTGAAGGAAGATGAAGACCTGGAGGGCACAGGAGGAGGTAGGACCGAATGTTGTGTTAAATTTCATGCAGCCCAAATGAGGCCTTGGGAGCCAAAACATTGTGTGAAAGTTGTATTTACACTGTCTTCTTGTTTTATGTTTTCTCATGAGCTAGACCACAAGTGGACAGAGGGAGAAATAGCACTGACCATACATACTTGTGAAAGGGGCAGAGGTTCAAGGTTCTAATCTTACCTTTGCCACTAACTGGCCTGGGGACCTCTCTAAATAAGGCAGTTATGTCAAATGATCCTGAAGGTTGCTCTCAGCTCCATAAAACTATGATTAGCCTGTGTTTGAAAGCAGCAATCAGTTCACCTTTCATCTGTCATTTAAAATGACAGAGTGAAGATTACACATCAACTCCTCCAAGGAATCTCTTTTTCATCCCCAGTTTCCTTATCTGTAAAATGAGGATAATAATAACACCTACCACTGGGATCAAAGGAGCCCTCTGCAAACAGAGAAACTCTGTGCAAACCTTAGAGCACCATATCAATTTGAGCTGCTACTGTTTTTCATCGCAGCACATCCCTAGATGCTATCCTTAGCTATCACATAGGAGTCTTTCCATTCTATGCTACTTGAGAACTGTCTTAAGTTTCCAGACAGCTTCTTGTAGATGAAGGGAAGATGCAACAGCCAGAAAGACAGCAGAATAAGAGTTTCTTAATGAGCTAGCTTTATTTAGAGCATTTTGTGGAAGAGTTAATGCAAGTCCCTTAGCACCCAGGTTGCTTCAAGAGTATGACTATAAGGCCCTGGGGAGAACTTAGCTCATCAGGCTGGGTTCTTCTGCTTTTGTGTGGATGAATCTTGCTTGGGGTATGAGAGGTAAGTGACCAATAATAAAAGCTAGCATTTAGATGGCCCTTTCAGTTTTACAAAGTGCTTTGTGTCTGTTGCCTCAATTTATCCTTACAACCTGTGAGGTTAAGTGTTATTATTTTCCCCATTTTACATATGAGTTAACTGAGACACGAAGATGATTAAGTGGTATGTCCAAGGTCACATAGCTAGCCTCTGAGATAGGATTTGAACTCAGGTCATCATTGTATCAGCTGTGCCACCTATCCCTAGTATAGTATGCTAAATGTCAATTTAAGAGGCCCCCATAAAGTTCATCAATGTTCATGGTGACTGATTTACAAAAATGTAGAGACCTAGATCTTAGGAAAAAAATAAAAGCCTATTCTCTCTTTTAATTATCACATATTTATCCTGTATATACCCTGTTTGTACACATTTGTTTGTATGTTGTCTCCTCCATTAGATTGTGAGCTCCTTAAACGCAAGGACTGTCTTTTGCCTCTTTTTATATTCCCACTGTTTAACACACTGCCTGGCACATAGTAGGCATTTAATAAATGATTAATGTCTGAGTGACTGATTGACTTATTCACTAGAGTCACAGACTCATAGCTTGAAGGGATCTTAGAGACCACCTAGCCAGAACAAATCAGGATTTGTTCTGTGAAGTTTGGATTCAGTCAAAGGGCTGCACTTGAGGACCTATAGAACCTGAAGGCCACAGGTTCCACACTCCCGAATTAACCCCCTTATTTTACAGATGAGTAAACTGAGGCCCAGAGTGGTTAAGTAACTTCAAAGACTAACTTCAGGTCTGTTAGTGACAAAGGCAAGATTATTCCAGAGAGAGACAATATAAAGGAAATAGACCATTGTAGTGGAAAGGACACTGGACTACTAGACTGAAGACCTGGGCTTTATCACTTATTAGCTGCCTGACCTAGGGCAAGCCTGTTAACCACTTTGAGCCTTTTTTTCCTCGTCTGTAAAATGAGGATAATAATACTTGTACTATCACCTCACAAGGCTTTTGTGAGGGTCCAAGGAGTTGATAACACATGAAATAGCTTCACAGGACTATACATTGTTATTATACTGGTCTCTACCTCTTTTTTATTCATGTGCCCTCCTTAGGATAAATATAAAGGTGGGTAGAGAGTGAACTTTTCTCAAGTCTACCAATTATCAGCTCTCCTTCCAATAGCTGAAGACTATATTAATGTCCAGAGGTTCCTCGGTGGCACCATAGTGCACAGAGCATTAGTCCTGGAGTTCTGACTCCTGGAGACTCTTGAGTTCAAATTTAGCTTCTGATACTTACTAGCTGCATGACTTTGAGCAAGTCACTTAATCTTTGCCTCAATTTCCTCAACTGTAAAATGAGAATAATAAAAGCACCTACTGCCCAGGGTTGCTAGGATAAGATGAGATAATATTTGTAAAGTGCTTAGCACAGTGCCTGGAACATAGTAGATGCTACTTAACATCATCATCGTTGTCATCATATCACAGTAAGGCTACAAACATTGACGTGAACATTATTATATCCCTTTAACTCTATTTTCTCTACTTTAGATAGATGACAATTTCACCCTTGCACTCTGATGGAATAAGGGCTTTTGAAAATGAACAAGAAAATTTCAGTCAACTAGCATTTATTAGACACCTATTGTGTGCCAGGCACCGTGCTAAGTGTTGGGGATACAAAGAAACCACAAATCAGTCCCTGCTCTTAAGGAGCTCACAGCCTAATGGGGGAGACAACATGTAAACAATGATATACAAACGAGCTTTATACAGCAACTGGGGTTCTGACCTTGGTGCTGCTACTTCCTATTTGTAAGACCTTGAGCAAGTCAGTCATCATTTGTAAAATGAGATTTTTGGTCTTCAAGGTTCTCTTCCCATTCCTAGTATGATGAATTTTTTTTTGTTTTTTTTTTTCTGAGGTGAATTCAGTAGTGCTGAAGTTATATTGCTCTAGTTCAGGGATCTGCATGATATGTAGGATTGTTTGACAGCAGTAAATAGCCTCCCCTTACTTTGCTTCTCTAGTTGATAATTTTTCTGCCTCCTCTCTTGTAGTTATTATTGCTTATCACACCTAATAAATTTCTCTTCCCTACTACCTACAACCAGCTTATAAGCTTGTGTGGGAGACAGCATAGTATGCTGGAAAGATTATTGGTTTTGGAATCACAAGGCCTGTTTTCAAATCCTGACTCTTATCACTTACTCCCTATAGACCTCTTGGCCTCAGCTTCCTCATCTGCAAAATGAAGGCATTGAAATCAGTGACCACTAAGGTCCTTTCCAGTTCTAAGTCTTAATCCTATGACTAGGATTCCTGAGTCCTGGGGTCCTATCAGGGTTCTAGATGGTTGAAGTTTCCAAAATCTTAGTCACAGATAAATGGACCATTACTTTCGTGCTAGTGGAAAGAACACAGGACATGGAATAAGGAAACCTGGGTATGAGTCCCATCGCTGGCACTGAGCTGTGTGACCTTGAGTAAATCACATACCTTCTCTGATGTTCAATTTCCTCATTATACAATGGTAGTAATATTATATTTGTGCTACCTGCCTGTTAGGGTTGTTGTGAAAAAGTAGTCTGTTGTAAGACTTCAGAGTACTGTATAGAATAAGAACAGTTCTTATAAATTATATTGCTCTAGTTGAATTGACCAAAGTTGGTAGTTTTGGATTCATTATGAAATTCATACTTCCTTTTGTTAAGATCCTTTAGTTAAGATACTACTCCTGGATTCCCTCTTCCCTAAGTGCTCCCCACCTAACTAGAATCATTTTCTTCCAGGAGAATGTAAAGACGGTTACTTTCTCACTTTGATAATATCCTCCAGTACCTAGCTGCATGAGCTTCTAGGTGGTACAATATAGCACTGGGCCTGGAGTCAAGAACACCTGAGTTTAAATCTGGCCTCAGATACTTATTAGCTGTGTGACCCTGGGCAAGTCATTTAACCCTATTTGCCTCAGTTTCCTCATCTGTAAAATGAGCTGGAGAAGAAAATGCCAAGAAAACCCCAAAAGGGGTCACAAACAGTCGGCTATGACTAAAAAATGACTCAACAACAACAGTACTTAGCATAGTGCCAGGCACATAGTAGATACTTAATAATACTTGTTAAAATGAATTCCCTGTTTAAAGATTTTACCTTAAATGTGGGCACACCCTTTACTGATATAGATTGTAATTCTTATGAAGCTTAGTAGAAAGTCTTTTCTGTGGCCAAAAAATCCATCATAGCCAACCTGGTGATAAGTATCTCTCAGTTAGTTTGATCCATCCTCTATGGTCAGACACAGTCTACTGCTGGGCCTGCTACCAGCCTTTCCAGCTTATTAGAACCTTTCCAGAGTTCATGCTTGTCTGACCTCACCTTTAAATACCCAAGGTCACCTCCTCTGTAGGATAAGGTGTCAGAGACTTAATGACATATATAAAGAGAATCTTGCAGTGGGGCTTTGTGCCAGGGCCAGGCTCAGCTCCTTTTGTACTTTTCGGTGGTCTGGTAAGCCTGGTTGGACTTACTCTGGGTCACCTGGATTCTTGCACTGACCTCCACCTGCCACGATTAGGCCCTCTTGAGTCTTTGAGGTTCAGAACAGTGGTTCTTTAGACCCTTATGTGGTGTCTCAGGACAGTGTTAGAGCCAGAAAGTACCTTAGACATCATCTGGTTCATCCCCTTCATGTTATAGAAATAGAGGCTTAGAGATACCAAGGCTTCCTTAATGTCAGTCAGTAACAAAGGCAGAACCATAGTGTCCTTAGGGAAGGTTGGGGTTAAAGCTTTCCCAGCTCCCAACAAATTCATCCCCTTGCCTAATCTTCACAGCCTTCCCCCTCTCTAAGAGATAGCAGGAAGTGACATCACACATGTCCAGTTACCATAGTGACTGGGAGCTCTTCGCAAGCACATACAGCCCCTCACACACTCCAGCCCCAGTTCTTCTCCAAGTCTACTTCGGGGCTGGGTCACTGCTGGGGCCACCGCCCTCACTGGGATAAAAGGAATAGAATTCGGGCCTGGATTCACCACCCACATGGATCCTACAGCCAAGGTCATCCCTGGGTATTGGGGATTGTGGGGACAGGGGGTCCAACACCTCTGTCTAGGGAAGGAAAGATGTATCAGCCACCAGACCTTTCCTCAGACCAAGGA